CTCCCAGGAGAGGGTGAATCATCCTATGGAATTTCCCATCTTTCTCCAAACAGGGTGCACAACAGATAGGTTATAAGAGGAAGTTAACTGCTGGAGGGGTAAACAAGGTGGGAGAATCTGTTTCTGGAGACTGTGGACTCCTACAATGGGGACAGTAGCTTTCTTCTGTCTCCTAAGCATTCTTACAGCGATTTAAAAAATTGTGAGGTATACCGATTCAGGACCAGCAAAACATCTTTTTAGATGTCAAGATAATCTGTCAGCTGAAACGCAGCAGATCTGTGCTGCGTGTGGGGTGCAGTATGACTGCAACAAACCAGTGACTCATGGCGTTTGTGTTTGGTAACTGGCTGTATCATATTTGCAGCATTTTGCCTAACAACTCAAAATTATCCATGCTTTTGCACATCATACTGTTTGGGTTGGAATAAGGGAGAGCACGGTGTTCAGACCAAACAGGAGGCTCAGACTTTCTCTGATTTGAGCTAGTTTAAAATCAGATGTCTAGTATGGATTCAGAAATACTGCTTGCCTGCCTTTTGTCTTAAAAATGGGAATATCCTGCCAGTTAAAGTTTGCAGGCCAGAGGACATGAGGCTGAGATTATGGAAGTCAAGAATGTGGCCCACAGTGTCCCAAGAGATCTGCTGCTGGCATTGTGCTGGGGACAATCTGGATGCACTTTCAGCCTCTAGCACAGCAGCAGCCTGTCATGTTTCCTGCTTTCTCCCTTCCAATGCTGAGCTATAACTTGGGGGAAAAAAGGTGAATTTTTTTAGGGCCTGAGAGTGAGGAAAAGGTAGACCTTAAATGGGAATTTTAGTGCTTAGGTGTAGCACCCATACTTGTAAACACTCTATTTCATGACTGAGCAGAATGTACTTTTTTCCACTTCATTTAAAACATGAAGTATACTGCCTGTAGTGTGTAGAACATCATTGCAGATACATTATTTTAAGAACGCACAAGAGCTAATTTATTAATACTCATTTATGTTTCACTTCATTTAGGTCCCATACTGGGGAAAAGCCATATATTTGTGAGGACTGTGGGGCTTGCTTTGCTGATAAAGGCAAACTAACTGGCCACAAACGGACCCACACAGGTAGGTGTTAAATACTTCTATTCTTTCCATCTGTTTTTTCCCATCACCTCCCTTTATACCATAGAAATTTCTAGCTGGGATTTGAAGATGCACGCACACTTTTTGTTTTGTGACTCACAGAAGAGACTTCAAGTACCTGAAAGGAAACTACTAAGGATAGAAAGACATTTTAAAACCACCTTTGAAGTACAAAATTCTGCTGAAAGAATTCAGAATATCTTTCTCTCTTTACTCAGGAGAGCGTCTTTTTAAATGTGATGTGTGTGGAAAACATTTTGCCACCAACGAATACTTAAAATGCCATAAACGATGCCACATGGGTGCTAAGCCCTACAAGTGTGAGGTTTGTGGGAAGACGTTTGGACTGAGAGCCTCGCTAGCCCAGCACAGTAATGTCCATGCAGGTAACAAAACAAACTATTCAGGGCTGGAAAAATAAATGGCACTGCGAGGTTGGGTCTGAATCACTTTCCAGTTTGGATGGTGACATTTTATTCCCGAATCACTTTTATAAGCTCCCTGAATTAGGTGATGAAGAGAAGCAGGGCTTCTCTTGTTAAACAGGGCACAGTAGTGTCTTGTATTGGATGATGCTTGCCCAGAAGACTGAGGCCCGTTTGGTGCTGTTGAAGGATGTCAGAGCAGAAGGAGCAGAGAGTGTAGTTACTGTTATTCCCCTTGCAAGATCAGGGAGCTGTTTTCAGGCTTTCCTTTGCAGTCAAGAAACATTTATCGCATAACTTTAAAACCCAGGGCCCCAAGTGTGTATCTCCTATGTACTTCCCTTTATCAATATCGATCTTTTCAGTGAAAAACCTTTAGGCTTTTTGTTTGCTGAAATCAGGGCCAAAAGAACCTGCTTCTTGGGTTTTGTTGTTTTTAGAGACCCGTCCATATTTCTGCGAGCAGTGTGGGAAAACGTTCACCCAACAGGGCGCTCTCCGCCGCCATCAGCGCATTCACACCGGGGAGAAGCCGTACAAGTGCAGAGCTTGCGAGAGAACCTTCACGGACATGTCCACCTTGCGCAGACACGTGTCGGTACGCTGCCTCTTGTGTGTCAGTGTGGCAGGCAGACTGCGGCGGTGACATTTAACTACTGAGAAAAGTTTCTTGCCTTAATGAGGGCTTATGTTGGTGAGGAGTATTAGGGTTGGGGGATTGATCTACCATCTACACACAGCTTTTAAAAATTTATTTCTGAAGTGTGCAGAATTTTCCTTCAGCAGCACAGCAGCTCCCACTGCTGGCTGTCAAAGCATTCATCCCCCAAGTACTTGTATTGTCTTCAAATGGAAAATCTAGTCTTGTGAAAACATATGAGGAAGGACTAGCTATTTAAAATGCTTATTACTGATTGCATCCTTTTCTTAAAAACAGAATGGTACCATGTTTTGTGATACTAGTCTTGCAGTCTTAAGTCTTTTACACAGAGGCCACAACATGATGGTTTATAAGGTCTTTGTGTTGCAGGTGAACATGATTTTGCCTCTTTTCAGCATTGTGATATGCTGAAAAATGGATTGCTGAGTTTAGCTGTTTTCAGAGACCTTCAGGGCCTTGAAGTGACTGCTAAGACAGAGCATAAGGGGTTTTTCCAATTACAAGTTTTTAAGTTAATGTTTGCCTATATCCTAAAATCCTAGCTTCTTTTGGAAGCGTTCCGTGATAGCGGAGCCAGAAAATCAGTTCAGTGTTCTCAAAACAGACTTGTTCTTGCATTTCAGAGTTCAGCTTTTGCACTTGAGCACAGTATCACAGAGTTAACTCTGATACTATTTGATTGTGCACTAGATTAAATCTTCACTTATTAAAGTTTTCATTAGGAAAAAATCAGATACAATCGTTTTCCCTTTTTTTTTTTTTTTTTTTAATAGATTCATGACCGGAATGTTCACTGGAGAAGTTTTTTAATAGATCTTACAACCAAAAAAGACCATAATTGGTCCAAAATAGAAACATTCTCAGAAGCCTGTATAGGTGAAGACTCTGCACCGGAAATTTGGTCAGTTGACCAAGGTAAACTTTATAAACCAGAAAGCATTGTTCTTAAAAAAGTAGAACATGTGCCATCTAGCGTTAGTAACGCAGAAGACACCGATCGCTCCCTTTTATACTTGTAAAGTTATCCCCAGAAAACTGCGGTCTCTCCGGGCCTAATAGGCCAGATTATCTCAGACGTCAAGTTCTGCAACGTCTTCATGCAGGTGAGCAGGAGTTACAGGCACTACGGTCCCAGGAGGAGGTCGTAACTGTTCTTAAAAGTATTTATGCAGGTTAGATTTGAGGTCTGTACAGAGTTGGGTTTTTTTTTTTACAACCTCATGGTACATCCCAGGGTATCTCTCTGTGAAAGCGTACACGGGTGCGGTGCTGTAGCTGGAAATTACCGCTTTGGTTTGCAATAAAGATGCGCTCACAACGTCAGTGGCCACCCCTCCCGAACTTATTTATTTGTATGGATTTGCCCGCAGAAAACTTGTTACTTGGGTAAGGAACAACGCGGGGCTGAGTGTCTCGGAGGGGCGGCCGCGTTGCCTAGCGACGTGCGTCGCGCCCCCTGACGCCACTTCCTGCGCGCCGTGGCCGCGCGTGCGCCGTGGCGGGCTCCG